CAACAACCCCCAGCACTGACAAAAACACAAAAAAAACACTATAAATTGAATATATGAGTCAGAAAACCGCAGCTGTTTTTGTTTGAGGCCAAGTTTGTTCTATTTACATATTATAGAGAGAGAGATCATCACTGCTTAACCCCTTCCAGTCCGGACGCTTTCCCCCCCTTCCCCCCCTTTTCCAGTCCGGACACTTTCCCCCCCCTTCCCCCTCACCCCCCCAGTCCGGTCACCCCCGGACGCTTTCCCCCCCTTCCAGTCCGGACGCTTTCCCCCCCTTTCCCCCCCCTTCCAGTCCGGACGCTTTCCCCCCCTTCCAGTACGGACGCTTTCCAGTCCCCCCCCCCCCTTCCAATACGGACGCTTTCCCCCCCTTCCAGTCCGGACACTTTCCCCCCTTCCAGTCCGGACGCTTTCCCCACCTTCCTGTCCGGACGCTTTCCCCCCCTTCCAGTCCGGACACTTTCACCCCCTTCCAGTCCGGACACTTTCCCCCCCTTCCACACTTTCACCCCCCGGACGCTTTCCCCCCCTTCCCAATATGGACCCCCGCTTTTCCCCCCCCCCAGTCCGGACGCTTTTCACCCCCTTCCAGTCCGGACGCGCTTTCCCCCCTTTCCAGTCCCGGACGCTTTCCCCGGACCTTCAACCCCCCCAGTCCGGACACTTTTCACCCCCTTCCAGTCCGGACGCTTTCCCCCCCTTCCAATACGGACGCTTTCCGGACACTTTCCCCCCCTTCCACATACGGACGCTTTCCCCCCCTTCCAACTTTCCCCCCCTTACGGACACTTTCCGGACACTTTCCCCCCTTCCAGTCCGGACGCTTTCCCCCCCCTTCCAGTCCGGACGCTTTCCCCCCTTCCAGTCAGGACGCTTTTCTGGACACTTTCCCCCCTTCCAGTCCGGACACTTTCACCCCCTTACAGTCCGGACACCCCCTTTTTCACCCCCTTCCAGTCCGGACACTTTCAGTCCGGACACTTTCCCCCCCTTCCTGAATGACAATTGCGCGGTCATGCAACACTGTACCCATATGACATTTTTAGCATTTTTTTTTGAGACAGATAAAACTTTATTTTGGTGGTATTTATTCACCGCTGGGATTTTTATATTTTTTTGCTATGTAAATGAAAAAGTCCCAAATTTTTGAAAACAAAGTGTTTTTCTTATAAAATTTTGCAAATTATCTTTCTTCATAAATCTTGGCCAAAATTTATTGTTATCTTTTTAGTAAAAAAAAAAAAAAACCCCAAATTAGTTTATAACTAAAAATTATAATTTTTTGAAACATTTTTTACATTTTAATGTAATTTTTTTATATTATTATGTTTTTTTTTTTTTACATACTGTCACCCTAGCAGTACAGTGTTCACCATAGACAGTACTACTTGTGGGGGGCGATGAAGATTTTTTTTTTTTTTACACTGATTGCTTTTACACCAATAAAGGCTGTAAAAGCAATCATTTCTCCTTCTCTCTCTGCATTCTTGCAGCCATTGAGAAATACTGTGTGAGCTGTGATTGGTTACAGCTTGTCACATGGTACAAGGCTGTTGTGAATAGCCCTGTACCATGTGATCTCTGTGATCATTCACAGATTTCACACGTAATAAGCAATGATGTCAGAAGTGACATCTTGCTTACACCTATTCATGTGATCACTTTTTGGCCAATCAATGATCACCTCACACAGAGTACAGTGATCGGTGTTACGCTGTGTCCTGGGCACCGGATCGTGGTGCCGCACGCTCCCAGGGAGCACGCACAATCTAAAATGGTGGGCGCCATTTATGAACGCAACCCGCGCTCCCTGCACATATGTCCCCGACGTCCCGGATGCCGTCTAAATACAGTTGCACACCCTCCGGAAGTGTTAATGCCTGGGTAAGTCAAACTGGTGGCCCTCCAGGAAGTTGCCAAACTACAAGTCCCATGAGGCCTTATTGCATGATGACAGGCCAAGAAATACTCCCAAAGCCAGAGGATGGGACTTGTTTTTCGCAAAGCTGGAGGGCCTTTTGACATAAAGCATGGAACCCACTAGATGCCGATCGCACACAAATATGCGGCCTCTCAGCGTCTGGAGACATGATGACACCGATGGAGATATTTGATGCATGGAAAATACACTATGTGATGAGAGCGACACTGACCCTGCACGCTCCCAGCACATGATGTCCGCGACACCGGATGGCGAATCACTAAGCACACACCCTCCGATGCCTGGATGTCTGAGCTAAGTGCAGATGGATTCCAGGAGTAAAGCTACATGAATCATGCCCTTATTCAAGATGGCCAAGAACATGCTGGATGGGGACGGATGGATGTTTTGCGAAGTGATTTCTGAGCAAAATAAAGCATGGAGACACTGATGGATGGATGGAGACATGGATGGATGGAAGGAGACACTGATGGATGGATGGAGACATGGATGGATGGGTGGAGACATGGATGGATGGATGGAGACATGATGGATGGATGGAGACATGGATGGATGGAAGGAGACATGGATGGATGGATGGATGGAGACATGGATGGATGGATGGAGACATGGATGGATGGAGACATGATGGATGGATGGAGACATGGATGGAGACATGATGGATGGATACATGAATGGATATGTGGATGGATGGAGACATGGATGGAGACATGATGGATGGATGGAGACATGGATGGAGGAGAATGATGGATGGGTGACATGGATGGATGGATGAAGACATGGATGGATGGATGGCTGGAGACATGGATAGAGATATGGATGACATGGGATGGAGATGGATGGATGGATGGATGGCTGGAGACATGGATGGATGGATGGAGACATGGAGGGATGGAGACATGGATGGATGGAGACATGGATGGATGGATACATGAATGGATATGTGGATGGATGGAGGGATGGATGGATGGATGGAGACATGGAGAAATGGATGGATGGAGACATGGATGGATAGATGGATGGGATGGCTGGAGAATGGATGGGGACATGGATGGATGGAGAAATGGAGGGATGGATGGATTACATGGGTGGATGGATGGAGACGTGGATGCATGGATGAAGACATGGATAGATGGAGACATGGATGTATGAGACATGGATGGAGAAATGGATGGATGGAGACATGGATGGAGGATGGATGGATGGAGACATGGATGGAGACATGGATGGATGGAGACATGGATGGATAAATGGATGGAGACATGGATGGATGGATGGAGACATGAATGGATGGATGGAGACATGAATGGATGGATGGAGACATGGATGGATGGATGGGGGTGTTTGCTTTGAATATTAAAATTGAATTGAGTCGTGTTTCGGGCTTGTGGTGCTCACACGCCGTGTAGTTCCCCTCTTCTTGAGGCGCAGCACTTTCTCCCATTTTTGTTTGTTTGGTCATAAAAAAAAAATCAGTGTTGTTATTCCAACATCCGGGACGTGACATCAGCGGGTTCCGGGAATAATGGTCCCAATAAACTTTGGCTGCAAACCGCGGGATGAGATAACACACGTTAAGACATTGCATGTGCTGGGAGGAGCTTTATGCATGTGGGGGAGGGCTTTATGTTATGGGGGGTGGGGGGGGTGGGGGGGTGCTACACATGGAAAGTGCAGAACCTGGGGCAGCTCTGCACAGAAACCAATCAGCTTCCAGGTTTCTGCACTCTCCATGTGTAGCACCCCCCCAGCCCCCCCCCCCATAACATAAAGCTACACTAGCTGAAGGGAGAAGCTGATTGGCTGCCAGGCACAGTTGCCCCCGTTCTGAGCGCTCCAGTTTAAAAAGAAATAATAAATCCCGATGTAACTAAAATGACAAATGGGATTTTTTATTTGTAATTTTGGAGAAGTTTGAGCCCTTTTTGGGCTTTTCTTGCTTCCTGCGTCCCTGTTGGGGGGATTCATCTTCTCTGTTTGTCCTGGGGGGGGGCCGCGATCATCAAAAGATACAGAAAAATCCAAAAATGTTACATTTGTCACCAAAAAAAGAATAGTAGGAAATCTTCCAATGGGCACGCCTGTCCTCGTGACAACTGACTTACAGCGCGACTTTACCAGGCAACTTCCTGGCGACTTGAGTGCTACTTTGATGCGACTTTCAGGGAATGCTGGGTAATCTTCCTGTAACGTCGGATCCAAATCACATCAATATAGAGGAGGATCCGACTTGGAGCCGACTTCCATTAAAGTCTATGGGCACAAGTCGGATAGAAGTCGCCTTGAAGTAGCTCAGGAACCTTTTCTACAGTAGGAGCGACTTCAGGAGTGCTAATGAAGACGACTCTCATCGACTAACAAGGGAATTCACACGTGTCATGCGACTTGGGGGTCTAACAGGTCGGATCCCAAGTCGCGGCAGAATGAACCGAGCCGGCTCCCAGTACTATGACCTGAAGGTCACGTGACTTACAGTGCGACTTTTCTCCTCTTTCCCCTCCCTCCTCTCCCTGTTTTGTACAGTATACTGTATATATAGATCTGACCTCCAGCCTTCCCTTCAGTCTTGCACAGGTATAGCGGCTCCTCTCCTTCAGTCTGGCACAGGGTATAGCAGCTCCTCCCCTTCAGTCTTGCACAGGTATAGCGGCTCCTCCCCTTCAGTTTGGCACAGGTGTAGCGTCTCCTCCCCTCAGTCTTGCACAGGTGTACTGGCACCTCCCCTTCAGTCCTGCACAGTGTGTACCGGCTCCTCCCCTTCAGTCTTGCAGAGGTGTTCCGGCTCCTCCCCTTCATTCTTGCAGAGGTGTACCGGCTCCTCCCCTTCAGTCTTGCACAGGCGTAGCGGCTCCTCCCCTTCAGTCTTGCACAGGTATAGCAGCTCCTCCCCTTCAGTCTGGCTCAGGTATAGCAGCTCCTCCCCTTTAGTTTGGCACAGGTGTAGCGTCTCCTCCCCCTCAGTCTTGCACAGGTGTACTGGCTCCTCCCCTTCAGTCCTGCACAGGTGTACCGGCTCCTCCCTTTCAGTCTTGCACAGGTATACAAGCTCCTCCCCTTCAGTCCTGCACAGGTGTACCGGCTCCTCCCCTTCAGTCTTGCAGAGGTGTACCGGCTCCTCCCCTTCAGTCTTGCACAGGTGTACCGGCTCCTCCCCTTCAGTCTTGCACAGGCGTAGCGTCTCCTCCCCTTCAGTCTTGCACAGGTGTAGCAGCTCCTCCCCTTCAGTCTTGCACAGGTGTACCAGCTCCTCCCCTTCAGTCTTGCACAGGTGTACTGGCTCCTCCCCTTCAGTCTTGCACAGGTGTACCGGCTCCTCCCCTTCAGTCTTGCAGAGGTGTACCGGCTCCTCCCCTTCAGTCTTGCACAGGTGTATCGGCTCCTCCCCTTCAGTCTTGCACAGGCGTAGCGTCTCCTCCCCTTCAGTCTTGCACAGGTGTAGCAGCTCCTCCCCTTCAGTCTTGCACAGGTGTACCAGCTCCTCCCCTTCAGTCTTGCACAGGTGTACTGGCTCCTCCCCTTCAGTCTTGCACAGGTGTACCAGCTCCTCCCCTTTTTACAGAGATGTACCGACTCCTCCCCTGGACTGAAGAGGCTTCCTCTGATGTCACTGCACACTGGGAGCTTCTCACAATGTGCATTAGAATCTGCAGCCAGTCATATAGAGCTCCGCCTTATTTCCTGGCTGGAGAACATCCAGCATCGTTTAGCCCTTTCCTCCCCAGCCTGGCTGTCCCTGGCCCACCCCTTTCATTCATTGGATTTCAGTCCTTTCCATCATAGAGGATCAGCATCACATGCATAAAAATGCAGCATCCATCAAGACATTGTGATATTTTGCATGAATCCTCCCAAAAAAAAGCCAGCCCAATACTGGGCAGGGTGCTGCAATGTGTTCAGGATGTACACCCCCCTGCCGGCCCCTCCCACCGGCCCCCTGCTGGCCCCTCCCACCAGCCATGATCTGCCATCATTGCATAGAGAAGCACAGACACCCAGTCATGAGTTCATTGAGTCAATGAAAACAGAAAATTGTATATGAAAAAGTCATTTGCATGTCGATGGCGGGAGGGGGCAGAGGAAAGGAAATACAGGAAACTTTCACCTTCAATATTTATCTGTAAGATCAAGATTGTATGTGAATGCTGAAAGAAAAAATAAATAAATAAAATGTAAAACACGTATACATCAAAGAAAAGAAAAGGGACTTAAAACTGCCCTAACTTCCGTGTAACACGTCTTCCTGAACACAATTGGTTTCCAGTGACACCCATACAATGCCCGCAGCATGGACGAGAATCTGTCTTTTCTCCTCTGCCGCCTGCTGGTCATCATTGGTATTACAGCAGATTTTATTCCCCTTTAAGGAAGCCTCCGCTGGGGAACTACGGATCATCGCTGAACGCGTTCTGTCCAAAAGGACGCTTTATGCGTCTGATGCAGGGGCGGACTGACAACTCATGGGGCCCCCGGGCAATAGGGGATCATGGGGCCCCCTGTGTCCTTGCCCAAACTCCAAAAAGCCTATGAAAAAGGTACCAGGGGCATCTCATGGGGCCCCCTACTGACCCCGGGCCCTCGGGCAGTGCCTGAGTTTCCAAATGGTCCGTCCGCCCCTGTTCTGATGCCTTCTCCAATGCTTTATGCAGTTTGTTTTGCGTTTCTCTACATGCGTTTTTACCACATTTTGTTCAGCTTTTTTTTTTGTTAAACTGCCCTTTTTTTTTTTCTTTTAGTTGCTGGGCAGAATAACAATTCAAATCGCAAAAAACGCGGCAAAAACGCACCACCGTGCATTTCAGCAGCTTCTTAATTGAACTCTATTGTAGAAAAAACGCTGCTTTTTGCTTTTAAAAAAAAGTCCCTGAGGCTCCGTTCACACCTCCGCAGTTTGCTTTTTGTACTTTTCGCAGTTTGTTTTGCATTTTTCTACATGTTTTTATTTGCTGTTTTAACTGTTTTTTTATTTTTTTTTTCAAGTTTTTTTTTTTTCATTTTTCTGGGCAGAATAAAAATTCAAATCGCAAAAATGCGGCAAAAATGCAGCAAAAATGCACCACCATGCATTTCAGCAGCTACTCCACTGAACTCTATTGTAGCAATAATGCTGCTTTTTGATTTTTAAAAAGCCCCAGAGTCCCCCCACATTACATCAGGGTCCCCAGAGTCTCCCCACATTACATCAGGATCCCAGAGTCCCCTCACATTACATCAGGGTCCCCAAAGTCCCCCCACATTACATCAGGGTCCCCAGAGTCCCCTCACATTACATCAGTGTCCCCGAGTCCCGACACATTACATCAGGATCCCAGAGTCCCCCCACATTACATCAGGGTCCCCAGAGTCCCCCCACATTACATCAGAGTCCCCAGAGTCCCCTCAAATTACATCAGGGTCCCCAGAGTCCCCCTACATTACATCAGGGTCCCCAGAGAGTCCCCCCCCCTACATTACATCAGGGTCCCCAGAGTCCCCCTACATTACATCAGGATCCCAGAGTCCCCTCACATTACATCAGGGCCCCAGAGTCCCCTCACATTACATCAGGGTCCACACAGTCCCCTCACATTACATCAGGGTCCCCAGAGTCCCCCCACATTACATCGGGGTCCCCAGAGTCCCCTCACATTACATCGGGTTCCCCAGAGTCCCCCCACATTACATCGGGGTCCACAGAGTCCCCTCACATTACATCGGGGTCCCCAGAGTCCCCCCACATTACATCGGGGTCCCCAGAGTCCCCTCACATTACATCAGGGTCCCCAGAGTCCTCCCACATTACATCAGGGTCCCAAGAGTCCCCTCACATTACATCAGTGTCCCCAGAGTCCCCTCACATTACATCAGGGTCCCCAGAGTCCCCCCCACATTACATCAGTGTCCCCAGAGGCCCCCCACATTACATTGGGGCCTCCAATGACCCCGTAAACACTCCATCATACTTAGACCATGTACCGCATACAACCATAATAACCCCCCCATAATCCTCCACTCACAAAACCATAACTCTACCAATCATATCCTACCTTCTATCCAACCCAGCAATACCTCAAATGTCCCCCCCCCCCCCCCTATACTACACCTCCCATAATAACCACATCATCCCGAACCTGACCAAACCACCCATACATGTAGGTTTACATACAGACACATGTACATACACACAAACAGAGACACCTGTACACACACACATACAAATACACACACACAGCCCTACAAAAAGTTGTAGTATTTCGCTGTTCACTCACAGAGCCGGGTACTGCACTCTAGGGGGAGGCAGAGAGCACAGCACACACTCCTTGCTTTGCTTTCAATGCGCTCAGCTATTGAGCAGTCTGACGGTTCCCAGTGCGAGTGATGGAGCCAGCCCTGAGCTCCGAACCTGCTCAGCAAGGCGGCCCTGGGGGACACACTCGCCCCCACCATATAATTTCCACTTGCCAATGCGAGCAGGCAAGTGTAAATTTCAAGGCCTATATAATATATCATTTTTTATGTATTTATTTTTTAGATTTATTATTAGTATTATTATTATTATTTTTTTTTTTTCTTTTAAACAATATAGGTAAAGGTAAGAACCTCTCTTTTTATTGCTGTCTGCATCCTTTTATTATTTGACTGGTTATTTATAATAAAAATAATAAAATAATAAAAACATCAATAACAATCGTTTTTTTTTGTTTGTTTCTTTAATTTGTTCGTGTTTTTTTTTAAATTCGATTTGTTTAATTACTAACTTACAAAAAATTGTGAAGCCTAACGGAACGCCTACATAAGAAACGTTAGCAAAATCCAGAGAGCGTGAAGAGCGCATCCACAGCCCGATCGCCACCATGTTCAGCTTGAAGGCGGCGAGGGAACTGCTGGCTTCTTCTGCGGTGTCGCCACACTCCGCGCCTCTACTGTCTGCAACAGAAATATGGGAAGGTCACCCGGCGAAGGCAAATGTCGCAAAATCTTTTTTTTGTGAACTAACACTTAGGGGGGTCTATTTATAAAAACAAAAAACCTTCGTTGGACGAATGTCACAAGCGTGCGCCCAGCCTGCACGAGTTTCCTTTTTATTTTCTGTAACGTGATTATTTCCTGTGATCGTCAGCGCCATCTAGTGTATGGGCTATAGAAATACCTTCCAAGCTGGAAATGTAATGGATATCACCCCGCCGGCAAAGGAAAGGGAGCAGGTGTCCCGAAGCGATTCCAGTGTGAGTGAGAAGATGGACGCCGCTCAACCGACTCCAGGAGTCAGATATGTAGATGGCAGGGCCTCAGCCACCGCTCTAGCCACACCCACTGATGTATTTTGCCCCACCCACAAGGGGCTTGGTCACAGAGGTGAAATTCATCAGAGGGTGTGGCTAGAGCGGCCATCTGCATGTCTGACTCCTGGGGTCCTTTGAGCAGCTTCCATCTTCTCACTCTGTCAGCTCCATCTAGTGGCCATAATGCAGTATTTTCTGACTAACAGGCATGTATTCTGCATTTTGGCCACTAGATGGTGCCGACAATCATAGAAAATAGTTGTATTAGACCAGTGGTCTCTTTTGCTTGCTTTCCAGCACTTTTTCTCTCACTGATGCTGCACACTATTCCTGCCACTGACACCAAGAAAGGGGCATAATTACTGTTATGACATCAACAAGGGGGCACTATTCCTCCCACTGACACCAATGATGGGGCACTATTCCTCCCACTGATACCAATGATGGGGCACTATTCCTCCCACTGATACCAATGATGGGGCACTATTCCTCCCACTGACACAATGATGGGGCTCTATTCCTCCCACTGACACCAATGATGGGGCACTATTCCTCCCACTGACACCAATGATGGGGCAATATTCCTCCCACTGATACCAATGATGGGGCACTATTCCTCCCACTGATACCAATGATGGGGCACTATTCCTTCCACTGACACCAATGATGGGGCAATATTCCTCCCACTGACACCAATGATGGGGCACTATTCCTTCCACTGACACCAATGATGGGGCACTATTCCTCCCACTGATATCAATGATGGGGCACTATTCCTCCCACTGATATCAATGATGGGGCACTATTCCTCCCACTGATATCAATGATGGGGCACTATTCCTTCCACTGACACCAATGATGGGGCACTATTCCCCCCACTGACACCAATGATGGGGCACTATTTCTCCCACTGACACCTATGATGGGGCACTATTCCTCCCACTGATACAATGATGGGGCACTATTCCCCCCACTGATACCAATGATGGGGCACTATTCTTGCCCCACTGACACCAATGATGGGGCACTATTCCTCCCACTGACACCAATGATGGGGCACTATTCCTCCCACTGACACCAATGATGGGGCACTATTCCTCCCACTGTCACCAATGATGGGGCACTATTCCTCCCACTGACACCAATGATGGGGCACTATTCTGATAACCCTTCCACTGACACCAATGATGGGGCACTATTCCTTCCACTGACACCAATGATGGGGCACTATTTATCCCACTGACACCAATGATGGGGCACTATTCCTCCTACTGATACAAATGATGAGGCACTATTCCTCCCACTGACACCAACGATGGGGCACTATTTCTCCCATTGACACCAACGATGGGGCACTATTCCTCCCACTGACACCAATGATGGGGCACTATTTCTCCCATTGACACCAACGATGGGGCACTATTCCTTCCACTGACACCAATGATGGGGCACTATTCCTCCCACTGACACCAATGATGGGGCACTATTTCTCCGATTGACACCAATGATGGGGCACTATTCCTTCCACTGACACCAATGATGGGGCACTATTCC